AATATTCTTTAAAGGTCTCTTGGCCCAGTAGTTCTATCACATATATCCTCTCCCATTTCTCAGTCTTATATCCAAATCATTTAAAGTAACTTTTCCTAAACAGAGTCAAGACTTTTTAAAAAAAATACTTCATGAGGTATAGAAACATGATCATTATGTCTTTAGGGAAACAGAATTAAGACGTCATCTCAAAGGATAAACTGTCAAAATGACTTCACTCAAAATCAGAATGTTTTGGGGCGCCTGGGTGGCTCAGTCAGTTAAGCACCTGCCTTTGTCCTGGGATCAAGCCCCACATCAGGCTCCCTGCTAGCAGGGAGCCTGCTACTCCCTCTCCCCCTGCTTGTGTGCTCTCACCCTCTCTCTGTCAAATAAATAAATAAACTTTTTTTTTTTTTTTTAATCAGAATGTTTCAAGCAGCCAGGCTCTGAACTTTACCGTTTAGATCACTTATTGGCAAACTTTTTCTGTAAAGGACAAGACAGTAAATATCTCAGGCTTTGTTGGCCATTCAGTCTCTGAAGCAACTACTCAACTCCACCCCCGCAGTGCAAAAGCAGCCATAGACAATACGAAAATGAATGAGTACGGCTCCGTTCCCCCAAAATTTTACAAAAACAAGCAGTAAGGCAGATGTGGCCACCCCCTGATTTAGATGAAAGGATTTATCTGATAATAACAAAAGGGACTACTTCTAAGTTTTAGACCAGTTTGGTCTTTTACCAAGTCTGATACTTACAAAAAAATTTCAATGAAGTAGTATCAAAAACCATGTTCTTTAGGGGCAATTCTTTAGGGGCAAATTTTAAAAAAGGATAATATTGGTCCTTACGGAAACAGAATAATCTCAATGAAGGATTTTGAAATTTATTACAGAAATCCAGGGCACATAATTTCATTCTGAAATGTTGCATAGCAGATTCCACATACAGTATTTGTTACAGACTGAGATTCCAGTAGTGACTCAAAACTTTTCAGCTGGGTAACTCTGTATTTTATTTAAACTTTCTACAAAGAGTTTAATGCTTAACTTTCCAGGCAAATAATACGCTTGTTGAATTAAAGATAATGTCTTGAGATAAATATGAATAAAGTAGGAGTAAGGATATCATTAAGGGCGCCTGGGTGGCTCAGTCAGTAAATTGTCTGCCTTCAGCTCAGGTCATCATCCCAGGATAGGGATCAAGTCCTGCATCGGGCTCCCTGCTCAGCAGGGAATCTTCTTCTCCCTCAACCCCTCTCCACTCCTTGTGACTTCTCTCTCTCTCAAATATATAAAATCTTAAAAAAAAAAAAAAAAAAGTATCATTAAGAATAGTGCAACTTGGGGCACCTGGGTGGCTCAGTCTGTTGAGCATCTGCCTTCAGCTTAGGTCACGATCCCAGAGCCCTGGGATCAAGCCCAGTGTTGGGTTCTCTGCTCACTGGGGAGCCTGCTTCTCTCTCTCCCTCTGCCTTCTGCTCCCCCTGCTTGTGCTGTCAAATAAATTTGAAAAAAAGAATAGTCCAACTTAACGCATATACAGAATGTTGCCCCTAAATCATCTAATCCAGGTGTAATTATAACTACCCAGATCTCTTTATAAGGAGAAATGCACATCCTGTAACCTCAGTATTTACAAGAGAGGCTCTGGAATCACTAGCCATCATAATCTACTGGGTATTTAACTGAAACAAAAACTGCCAAATTCATGGGAACCTTACCTCTTCTTCTCATGATCCAAATGAATGAAGACTTTTCCAGTCAAATTATAATTAATCACCACTTAAAACCAGCTGTTTTGCCCTGTGAAGTCTAGGGTAGATTTTCAGCATGAGGGGTGATGTACAATAATTCCTTTTGTGAACAGAAATATATGCACATGTCCCTGCTGAAAATGTAGCCTGGTAAATCTGCATGTGACAATGAATCCATGCTTATGTGTAGCAATGTGTTAGGTGATGTTTCTTGTTGAGGTCTACTTTAGGAGTCAAAATGTGTAAGCCCTGTGAAGCCAAGGCAGCAGTCCTGTGTATAGAGGTATAGAAAAAGTAGCTCACTTAATCCTTTCTCGCCAGGAGTCGGGATTTTCCCAGAACGACATCCATTGTCGGCAATGGACGCACCAAAATAACGCCGGCGCCAGTGAGTTAACCACCTCTGTCCTCTTTTCACCTATTATATTTTTCATGCATCATCCAACTTCCCAACCATCTTCCTGTTTCTTCACAGAATGCACGCTAGGTTCTTGTTTTTCTTCAGCACGAAGTTGAAAATGGAGTTGAGAAAAGGAGACACATGGTCAGCTGGTGATGTTAACAAGCTCCTTGCTGCCCTGAGAAGCTAGATGGAAATGGTTCAAGTTACAAGGGGGATCATCATCAGATCTGGGAGGACAAAGAGTAATTCATGAAGCTTCATTCCCTTCCCTCCCACCCTCTCTCATTTACTGATGATCCCTATGGTCTGCCTTCACAGCAAAATCAAGATTAAGGATCTGAAGCAACCTCTTTCAGTTCTTCACTCCATCCAGTGTGTAGAAAGGCCAAGTGGAACACATGTCCAACAACGTTACAGTGGCCCCAGAAGGTCAGGGAAGCTTGGAGTGGCTAACCACAATCTTAGATCAATGCTTTTTAGTATGATCTTGGAATTAACATCAGCAACTAACACAGTGCTTGGCAACAGGTGCTTAACAAAGGTTGGTTGAGTAAGACATTTTCTTTTCTGCCAATGTCTACTTGAACACATAGGTGGAAGTCAGACAGAAGTAGTTAACTCTTTCAATGCCGGGATAGTATGGGTATATAGTAATCACATCAAATCCATGTGTTTATCTAAGACATGTTCATATTACAGGTTTCTGATTTCAATGTTCTGGTTAAATGCTAGCTAAAATATTTTATTTAAGGACAACCACAATCAGAGTTTTGAAATTAGAACCATGGTAAATGTTAATTAGAATGACAGATGAATTAAGAACCCCAGCACCAATGTGTAACAAAACATCACTGTTCAGTCAAGTAACAACCTCTTTCAGTATTCCAATTCTAGATGGGTAATGATTCCAGAGCAAAATAGAAGTGTGAAGAAGGAAAATCTTATTTAATGGCTTCTTTGATGCTAAGAATCAGATAAATCCAAAATATGAAGGTTAAGAAGGCTATATTTTAAAAGTATGAATAAAATTTTAAACCTCAAATCAAGAGGATCATCAAACTACGTAGTACTATGCAACTGCTTTGATTTTTCAGATAGGAGGAGGGAAGACGACAAGCAGGGGAAGGAATAAGTTTGTAGGACTCAAAAATGTCTAGAGTGTGAGTTTAAATGACCAGTTATAGCTAAATGAGTTAAGGATATCCCAGAGAGTTATTCATACCGCTACCATGACAATAAAAACTACCACATAGAGAAACAAAAATACTTACTTCTCCTAGATTTTAAGACAGGTTTTTAAGAAATGATGATTATGTCTCATTTCTGAAAATTATGTCAACCAGAGACTTAGCAGGCAGAAGTGTACTACTGGGTCTGCCCCCAACCCTTGCTCTATAAAACCATGTCTGTAAGGCCTTTCTATGTCCACTCATGTTCATGTTTCCATTCCCACCTTCCTTATGAAGCCAGTCATGCCAGAGGCTCTACTAGCAGTCTCTGAACACAAGAGGGACTTCTTCCAGACTCCTGTGCCCTCACAAAGCAGGCCTTAAATGAAGGTTCACCCAAACGTCCATCCCAGCATCTCTTTCAATTTAACTGAAATTCTGGTTCCTGTAGTTCACATGTCGTATCATAACCCGATTTACTATGAATCCTTCCTTTTACTAAAGTTTATAAAAAGGAAGAATTTCATAAGGTTGAGTTAATGATAAACTATAAGTGGTGAGAAAGAGTAGCATGAATAGGTCAATGAGAGCTGAAACCACACAATACTTAAAGAAGGGTCTCAACACAGCAAATTACAAATGCCGAAAGTAAGCACAGTGTACAACCAACCCACTACTCATTCTGCTCAGTATAAGGCCAGTTTCGTGTGGGTCAAATTGCAGGATCTACTGGGTAAGCTTTGTAGTCATAACTGGGGACAGAGAGGATTCAAATGTCCATCTTGCTGCACATAAACCAGCACTGCTGGTTTATCTGGCTGCTTCACTTCTGGCAGAAGAGAGGAACAGAAAAACAGAAGCTAGCAAGTAACCTGGTCCCACGGGGTCCTCAAGACCTGAACCCCAGATCCAGATCACCTACAATCAAAATGTAACACCTCTCTTCTAAGCTCATCCTGTTACTCACTTCTGTGTTTATCCAAGACCCAGCGTGGGTTTTCTATAGAACAAACCCTACACATCTTGCTACATTCTTTAACCAGAGATTATGTATGTATTAAGCGTTAAGGGTTCCAGACCCCTCTATTTTTCCTCTAGATCACATCTTTTGTCCAAAGAAATAGGCATTTAAACGGCAGGCCTATTTCAAAAACAACAGAGGAACTGAATACCAATTACCTCCATATAAAGTTATTTTACTGGAACAGAAATTTATGTTCAATCATTTTTGATGAGAAGTTGCTAAATTACCTTGGTTTTCCATTTAATTTTTAATTTTAATTTCTAATTAATGCAATACATTAATTTCCAATCAACTTAAACATTCTTTTTCTTTTTTTTTTAACCTAGGATCTTACAAAGAATTTTCAAACGTAGAATCACATGTTTGTTCCTCAAAGGATATCTGGCTTTGTTTTTAATGTAAAGAGCACTTGAAAAACTGAATTCACTGCTGTGATATGCTTTTCTAAATGAAGAAAAGGGGACATCTGTATATTAGTTTGGCTGCTATATCTCTTGCCAAGGTTTAAAAGATGTCTGAGACATTTATAATCAGCTGTCAGTAAGAGAGACGGCATTCCATTTTTCAAATAGATATATAGCTAAAGAAGTAGGTAATTCAACATAAGATTCGTAGAACTCTAGATGTGAGTAATTCAGGTTAAAATAAACAAAAATGTTTTCTTACCTTTAGGTCTTTCCAACTATCCAGGAGCTTGGTGGCCAAATCACTTATATCTACTGTTTTATCTGGCTGTTCCTGGCTCCTCTCACTCTCCACATCAGATACACCCTCCTCTTCATCCTGGGACGGCGTTTCCTCAGCAATGGTTTCTTCCAGTTTCGGGCCATTGCCCTCTTTGGGCTCTATTTCAGTGTCAGCCTCTGGTTCAGATGTGGGTAGCTTACTGGCTTCCACAGTGATTTCACTCTCAACTTTAGATTCAGGTAGCTGTTGTGTGAGTAGCTGCTGTGACTGTAACTCTTCCTCTTCTTCTACAGGGACGTTTTCTAACTGGTCAAGGTCCTCTTTGCCGTCCTTGCCTTCCAACTCACTGGTAGCATCAGAGATAGCACTGTCCATGCTATTTTCACTTATAATTTTAAGTCTCCGAAACATGAGCTTCTTGGGTGTGTCTGTGTCAGCTTCTGTGCTCAGCTTGGTGGAAGGATCAGGTGTGTTGAGTGGTGTGTGAGCACGTGATGTATTCTCACTTGAATATCCATCTCCTTCACTCAACTGAGGAATGGCAGTTTTGGTCTGAGACCAGCGTTGAATAATTGGAAGTACTTTGCTTTCCTCCAACATATTTTTAGTAGGAATGGGTAAGTGTTCCAAAGTCTTTATAATCTGATTAAACAAATAAAAAAAAAAAAGTCACATCACTCTATGTAGTTGACTTTTCAAATCTCTGGTTGGGACTCAGATCATTTTTGAAAGACCTGTGGGTTTTCTTTACTGTCTTATCAAGACCTAAGTCTCTATAACTACAAAAGGGTTAAATGTTATAATATTAGTTTCCTCTAGAAAGGAAGGAAAACTTTTTAAAGACTGACCAGCAAGAATAAAATGTAGAGCAGGTAACTGCTCCCAATATCAAACGGATCGATTAATATCTTCTACCAGTAGTTCTCAAACCTGTGTAGATCTTTTAAAATATATATATATACCAGTGGACCTTATCCTGGCTATGTTTTTCAAAAAAGTTTTCCAAGTGACTGTGATATAGGCTTGGGAACTATGCAACAACATATATTTAAATGATATTTCACCCACAAAAAATGCAGCTATTACTTACCTCTTTTAGCCTCTGATAAACAGCTAACAAAGAAAGACTCTCTCTCCAGAGATAACCATCCCCTCCACTCTGAAATCCAAGAATTTCTTCCAAAGTACTCCCCAATGCAGATCTACAGAAACCCCAAAGTAAGTTGTTCCTCTCTACTTTCTAGATGGAATACTGCTGAATTCATTTAATCATTAATCATAGAATCATTTAATAAAGTCAACTAGATCTGTACAAAAAGGAATGGGGAGGAGCAGGAAAAAGGGAGAAAGGAAGGGAGGGAGGAAGAAACTCCAAGTCTTTCTCAACTTCTACTTATTGCCAAATCTCCTGGGAGAAGAAGGGAGGCAAGACAACCACTTACTTGCTCACTTCTGTTTTGTTTTTAAAGTGCATTTTTAAATGACTTCAGTATTATATTAGAAACCACGATTAAAAAGAACTACATTTAAACTAGATTAAAAATATTATTTCATGGGAAGGTATAAATATCACAGCTCCACTAATGACATTGCCAAGGAACACTTATATAGATCTTAAAACACTTACTGATTCCTCAAAATGTTCTTACTCTTGCCATTCCAGAATTTGGCTCTTCACCAATTTTTTAGAGCCCCCAAATATAAGTTTCACATGGTTTCCCGTTTAAAACTATGGCTTTAGCAACAAACTAGATCCTTCACTTAACTACGATGTGGTATCTTGCTCTTGCACTTCCCACTACACAGTCTCGGCTACAGGGATACTTTAGGAAAAACCATGGGGCAAACTCACTACTAGCAAAGTCTACATAAAAGGTTATAGTTACAGGAATGACACTGAGATGATATTTATTTCATTCCAATGGTAACTATAATGGTAAATTCATTATTACTCATATTATCACTCAACCTAAGCACTCTATATGGCGGTTTTAAGAAATAAGCAAGTTGATTGTGAACTGACCTCTTCCTGAAGCTTCTGGTTACTTTCCCGGCCATCACCTAGTTCTGCCATCCAAATCCACAACAAAGACAGCCCATGACGTTCCAGAAAAGACTTCAGGCAAGACTGTGAATGTGTGTTCTTCCGTGGGGGAAGGGAAGCAGGATGCAGGGTATTGGGTTGAGGGTGGGCAATACCAGACAGAAATTAAAAAGGGTCCACAGAGAGGAATAAAAAGTCTGTTTATATTCACAAAACTTTACCTAGAAACTCTATTGTGATTAATGCAACTAAAAGTGTACAAATAACAAATGCTTTAAAGAAATTATAACTTTTTTTGATACCTAAATTGTATCCAGTCAACTTGGACTTTATATAAATAGACTTTACAGAAAAACAAACATCAATATGTCCTTTACAATGAAATTCAAATCTGAAAGACCAAGAACCAAATTATATTCATTTTTATTGAAAAACCTAAAACTATAATAGTGTAAATCATTTTCATTTCTCTCTTCCGTTCAGATGTTTTTTCAAAAGGCTTTTTTCTCTTAGTTTTCTTTTAAATCATCCTTTTTTTTAAATTGTTCAACTTCTTGTAGCATACTTAATAAACTGGAGTAAACGAGATTATCATTAAAATTCCTTGCTTCAAGATCCTGTGGTAAAAATGGCCTTGGCATACTAATAATCATAGGAGGGACTATATCAAATGTCATGAACTGTTACACAAAAAAAATCCCACCATGCTCTTTGGCTAGAGAGAGAAAGCAAACAAGAGCTACTAAAAAACTAAATGATGCCGAACTCGACATTTTTAAGAGTACAAACTTTCAAAGTCATATAGAATTTTCAAACCATTTTAAAAATAAGAGTAACTCTCCTCAGAGTTATCCCTTCTCCTGCCATCATTCTAAACTGCACTTTAGATGCCCCAACTCAAATTCAGAAACAAAAAATAAATTAATATCAAAGAACTCACCTGTATAAGCTCAAGACAGGTAAGTTTCTGTTCCAAGGTTTCAATTCTAACCATTAGCCGGGATAAGCTGAGCACCTGGTTTTTATCAGAGAGACCCTCACCGTTCTCCAGCAGAGCTTCTAGCTCTCCATCCACCTGCCATAGCAAAGAAAAAGTATCTGGTTATAAAAACAACAAATGCGCCACTAATCTAAGAATCAAACAACCTAAAAAGATGCTCAACCTTGCCAGTGATAAGGAAAACACAATTAGACCCACAGGGGGAAATCATGTCATATTTACCAGGTTAATCTGGGGAAAAAAGTCTGATAATATCAAATCTAGGCAAAGATGTAGATCAAAAGGAATTTTACATGCTGTTGATGAAAGTAAAAACTGGTACGATCAATTTGAAAAGCATTTCATTCACTCATCAAATATTAACCAAGTACTTATTATATGTCAAGTATAATCCTAGGTGCTAAAGTCACTGCAAAGGAACAAAACAAACAAAAATCTACTCTTACAGGAGACAGAGCAAATTAATGTTAGGTGAAAAGTATGCCAGAAGAAATAAAGCACTGACTTCAAAAATAAAATATTTGTAACCCTATGCGTAGCACTGCACACCTAAGAATAAATCCTAAAGATACTTCTAGACACATGTTATACCAAGCTCACTGAATGACCACTGTAATAGCAAAGAACTGTTAACAAATGTCTGCGGCCAGGTTATATAAATTAGCATTTTCATACAATGGATTATTATAGCACAGTGAAAGGAATCAACTGCAGCCCAATGCAACAAGATTCATCAATCTTATGAACATGTTACATGAAAAAAGTTCCAGAAGATTACATGCTGTATGACTCTGATTATATAAACCTCAAGAACAAAATTTTCATAGATGCATGCCTGAAAAATCAATTTGAAAAAGGCAATGGAGGTATGACACAAAATTCAAAACAGTGGTATCTTCTAGGGGCTAAGCAGGGAGCACAAAGGAGAGAAGTGCTCACAAGTGGTTCTTTTATAATTATGCCTTGTAACATATATAATTTCTCTGGAAGTTTCAAATAATACATTTAAACAATGGGAAACAACAACAAAAACCCACCAATGGTTGTTTTCCAGCTGTCTTACAAAAGATATAAAGATACCTTACAGAACTTATTATTGGGGAGATAAAATTAATTCATATGAAACAAATAATGAAGCATTAATTGTAAAATGTTAAAAAACTATGAAGGAAGGGAATGGTTAGAATGAGAGTCACCAGAAGCAGGGCTAGCAACAGGTAAGATAAAGGAGGGAGTGAAGTAAAATCTTGAGCATAGGGAAATGGAGAATTGTGATAGTGCCAGCTTGGCCAGGCTGGAGCAGATAAGGTATGGTGAGGAAGTAAGAAAAACCTCATCAAAAGGAAGGCTGGTGTTTGATCAGAAGATCTTGGAGGTGTTATGTAAAAGAATCTGTATTTGATGTGAATGAGCAAGAAAGCTCCATTACTGGGACGCCTGGGTGGCTCAGTTAGTTGGACTGCCTTCGGCTCAGGTCATGATCCTGGAGTCCCGGGATCGAGTTCCGCATCGGGCTCCCAGCTCTATGGGGAGTCTGCTTCCCTCTCTGACCTTCTCCTTGCTCATGCTCTCTCTCTCAAATAAATAAATAAAATCTTTAAAAAAAAAAAAAAAAAAGAAAACTCCATTACTGAACCCAAAAAAGGGGAATAATATGATCAACATGGAATTTGAGAATAAGTAGTGTGGCAATAACAGAATAAAATCTACACAAGACAGCAACTAACACAGAAGAGATATAAAGACAGCAGTATACCAATATGGCCTGAAATGATAAAATTCTAGAATGCGCTGATAATAAATTAGAAGAAAGCAAATCCAAAAGACAAGAATCTTTTTTTTTCCTTTAAAGATTTTATTTATTTATTTGACAGATAGAGATCACAAGTAGGCAGAGAGGCAGGCAGAGAGACAGAGGAAGGGAAGCAGACTCCCCGCTGAGCAGAGAGCTAGATGCAGGGCTCGATCCCAGGACCCTGGGATCATGACCTGAGCCGAAGGCAGAGGCTTAACCCACTGAGCCACCCAGGCGCCCCTAAAAGACAAGAATCTTAAGGAAATTTTCCTTTTATTTAAAGATTTTTATTTATTTATTTGCCAGAGAGAGATTAAGAGCATGAGCAGGGAGGGCGGCAGGCAGAGGGAGAAGCAGGCTCCCCACTGAGCAAGAAGCCCGACCAAGGACTTGATCCCAGGACCCTGGGATCATAACCCTAGCAGAAGGCAGAGGCTTAACTGAGTCACCCAGCATCCCTTAAGGAAATTTTCTGTTACTTAACTTTTTATCAGCTCAACATAATTTTAGGAAAGGCACTAAACATTTCTATTTTATATTATACCGCAAAACTCACATAACTCTAAGGAACAAAAATAAGAAAACATGAAATGCTACTTACAAGACTCTGAAGAAATGTAAACTCACTTTTTTCCTTCTAAAATGTACACTTAAGGCTCATTTCTTTTTCATTTCCAGTATCACTTATGTTTTGAAGAGATTAAGAACATATACAGAAAAACCAGTTTATGGTTAAACATTAATTCAGGACAATTTCCTTAATGATGGTTTTCCCCTGCATATCCTAAATGTAAAACCTCCTGTGTCTAAAATTCTAGAGGATTAGAATAGGAAAGACCAAGGGTTTTAAAATTCCACTTTTCCCCAAGTGCAACAGCCAGAACCTCACTTTGGACAGAGTTTTGAGACACAAATACTACTGGGCTAAGAGATGGGGTTTTCTGGGACACCTGGGTAGCTCAGTTAAGCCCCTGACTCTTGAATTTCAGCTTGGGTCATGATCTCAGGTCCTGAGATTGAGCCCCACATGGGGCTCTGCAACCAAAGCAGTCTGTTTGTCCCTGCCCCCACCAAAATAAATAAATCTTTTTAAAAGAAGAGAGAGAGGTGGGGTTTTCTTTCCATAATTAGCCAGGAAATGCCTCTCTAACTCTGAATACTTAAGAGATAAAAGTGATTTCTTAAGTTTTTCATTTAATAAACATTTATTGAATAGACACTACAGTATATAAAACTCCACTGGTAAATAAAAACAGTAGCATTCTTTCTTAAGGAAATAAACAGTAAACCTGCAGAAACTGAAGTAAAAATAACAAAATTTTGCAAACAAAATACAGAAAGTGAATAACCTTTGAACCTCCCACTACAATTATGAGCTTAGTGGTTGTACTGACATACATAAAAGTTATCATGCCAATCCTATGTATGATACAGCGTCCATAATTTTGGGTACTCAAGTGGACAATCAATTGTGAATTGTGGGATTAATAGCTTTTAGGATACCTGGGAGGAAGGGAGCCAGGAGGCCAACTGATTGCTTTCATTAATCTACATTTACTAGAAGTACTTATTTTTAATTTATGCATCACCGCCTTCCGGAAAGGATCTGAAGTAACTAAAAATCAACATGAATGGGGCGCCTGGGTGGCTCAGTGGGTTAGAGCCCATCCCCTCAGCTCAGGTCATGATCCGGGGTCCTGGGATCGAACCCTGCATCAGGCTCTCTGTACAGCAGGAAGCCTGGTTCCCCCCACCTCTGCCTACTCGTGATCTCTGTCAAATAAATAAGTAAAATCTTAAAAAAAAAATCAATATGAAAGTATAAAAATGGTTAAGGTATATTTTAATTACTGATACATGAACATTTATATATACAAAAATGCAAAATTCTATAGCATTTAAAAATTTATTCTGTTAAGTGCTTAATCGGTCCAAGAAATTATTTACTTTTTTTTCTTAAAGATTTAATTTACTTGCCAGAGAGAGAGAGAGAGAGAGAGGGAATGAACAGGGGAGGGGTAGGCAGAAGGAGAGGGAGAATCAAGCTCCCCATTGAGCAAGGAGTCCTGTACAGGGCTTGATCCCAGAACTCTGGGATCATGACCTGAGATAAAGTCACATGCTTAACCAACTGAGCCACCCAGGTACCCCTAATTTACTCTTTTTTAATGCTTTAGTATTTTGGCCATCAACCATCTTCAATTGGTCTAAGCAGTATTTTTAATACTTCCTGATGAAATGCAGTACGCATAAAAGTATATAAATGATTTGTAAACAAGTAAGTTTAACAAACAGGTGAGCATTATCCATAAAATCAACATGCATGTGATAAGAAGGCCAGGGGATGACAACATTGCCAACATCTCTGAAGTGCTCCATGTGCCCTCCCTTTCTTATAATACCTCCTCTTTGCTCTTCAGATAACATCTCCTAACTTTTTTAGAAAATCATTATTTTTAAAATAGGTTTATCATTTATACAAAACCCTAAATATTATAATTTAATTTTGTCTATTTTTTAAATCTTTCTGGAAATTATACTGGACAAAACTTTTGTCATGCTTGTGTTTCATCCTTACATTTTAGGAGTCCTCTGTTCTGTTGCATGGAGCCCTAGTCCTTCACTTTCATGACAAATTTTTAAGTCTAGGATTACATTATAAATTGTCTATATTAGTGTTAATGGATATTTGAGTTGTTTCTACTTTTTCTAATATAAGCAATGCTGCTGTGACTCTAGATACATATCCATTCACTTTCAGTAATTAATTCCAAAGTGTTTTCAAAAGTGGCTGCACCCAGGGATGCCGGGGTGGTTTAGTTAGTTAAGCGTCTGCCTTCAGCTCAGGTCATGATCCTGGGATCGGGTCCAGCATCAGGTTCCTTGCTCTTTCTCCCTCTGCCTGCCACTCCCCACCCTGGCATGCTCTACTCTCTCCCTCTCTCAGACAAATAAAGAAAATGTTAAAAAAAAAAAAAAAAAAAGGCAGCTGTACCCATTTACAGCCCCTGAGCAGTGTAGGAGATCCTGTTCTTACAAGTCATCAGACTTTTTACCAATCTGATAGGCATGTAAATGACACCTGATAGTTTTAACTGATACTGCCCTGATTCCTAATGAGGTTGAACATCTTTCTATGTTTATTGGTTATTTGGATTAGTGAAGTGTCTGGATGGTGTCTCTTTATTTTTCCTTTGTGCTGGCTTTTTCTTTATTAATTAGTAGGAATGCTCTATATACTTTAGATATTAATACTTGTTTTGTGGTGAAAGCAAGTATGTACCTTTTCACCCTCTTTATTGTGTAAATTAGTTATCATTAGTTTCACAAACTCAAAAGAGACGAAGAGAAGTTTCAGACTATTTCCTGCTTGTACTTCACAAACTACAAATATCATCAGGTTATAGGGACTTAATATATTTCCATCAGCTAAGTATTTAGTTACCTAGTAAATTACATTGGGTTATTAGTTACCTGGTTTGTGACATCCCCAAAAAAGACAACCAACTTCAATTGGAAGAGCTTTTAGCTTTGTTAAGGAGATGACTATATATAGATCATAAGAGCAAGAAATAAAAAATATGTTTACCAATCAAGGGCTGATATAGAGGTTGTAGGCTATAGTACTATTAACATACTCTTCTTAATAATTAAAATATGCAAAACCACATTTTAAACTGTCCTATCTTGTCCTCTCCATAGCATCCTCTACCCAAAAGAATTCCCAAGACTCTCAACTATAGCTGACTAAAATTCAGAATCTAGGCATGCAAAAGGGAATTTCAGAGGGCAACAATCCAAGAAAAAGTAAACTAGAGTTCAACTCTTCATTATCGGCAGGGCAAATAACCCTCCTAGGAATCTAAATTCGTTCTGGCTCATTCCTCTATCTGGCCAAAGTTTTAGCTACAGCATTCTATTCCAGAATAACTTCAAATTCATACCTGGAGCAACCCATGATGACTGGATTCATGTTATACCTAATTTAGTCTATAATGCCAAAGCCTATACTGATACTGACACACCATAATCAGAATAAACACAAGCAAACAAAGGAATGCCTACACTTGGTGCCCTGGGATTGTTCCTGAATCTTATCAGATAGAAAGCCATCTGGGGGCGCCTGGGTGGCTCAGTAAATTAAAGCCTCTGCCTTCGGCTCAGGTCATGATTAGGGTCCTGGGATCGAGCCCCGCATCGGGCTCTCCGCTCAGCGGGGAGCCTGCTTCCCTTCCTCTCTCTCTCTACCTGCCTCTCTGCCTACTTGTGATCTCTGTCAAATAAATAAAATCTTAAAAAAAAAAAAAAAAAAGCCATCTGGTAATGGTATGATGGAGTTATAACACTGTCTAAGAAACCATCACAATATAAGGATATTCCCCACCAATAATACAGTTTTTAAGAAATGTTTATTCTGTAAGCTTTGAGAATAGTAGATAGCCAAAGGGAAGTTTTTATGGAGATTTTAGCATAGGTCAACACGTTTAATGACTATTTTGTGACTATTCTGATAAACTATCAAAGAAAATGAGAGTTGGGGCGCCTGAGTGGCTCAGTCCTTTAAATGTCTGCCTTCAGCTCAGGTCATGATCCCAGGGTCCTGGAATCGAGTCCCACATCGGGCACCCTGCTCAGCGGGAAGCCTGCTTCTCCCTCTCCCACTCCCCCTGCTTATGTTCCCTCTCTTGGTGTCTCTCTCTATCAAATAAATAAAATCTTAAAAAAAAAAAAAAAAAGAAAGAAAGAAAAGAAAAGGAGAGTTAAAAATAAAAGCAATATTAATGGAGTTTAGAGAAAAATTTCCTGCAACAGTCAAAGTCAAGAAGGCTAACAGGCGGGGGGGGGGGGGGGGGGGGGAGGGAGGGGGCGCCTGGGTGGCTCAGTGGGTTAAGCCTCTGCCTTTGGCTCAGGTCATGATCTCTGGGTCCTAGAATCAAGTCCCGCATAGGCTCTCTGCTCAGCAGGGAGCCTGCTTCCCTCTCTCTCTCTACCTGCCTCTCTGCCTACTTGTGATCTGTCAAATAAATAAATAAAATCTTTAAAAAAAAGAAAAAAGAAAGCTAATCAGCTAGGACCCAGTGACTCCACTTCCATGGATATACCTTACAGAAACATGTACAGATGCTGTGACAGTAAGAGCAAAAGCTTAAAAACACTAGTGTTCATTAGAAGGACTATATATAATAAACTCATATGATGAAAAACTTAATAGTAGTTAAAAATATGTTTACATATTTATCAATGTGGATCAAATTTTAAAATAAAGAGAAAAAAAAAACAAATTGCAGAAATAAACATACCATTTCTAAAACTCTAAACAAAACAATGTAATAAATTTTAAAATTTATTTTCTAGCACACAGAAACATTGGTTGTTATGACCACAACTGTCTGAGTTGGAAGAGGATGGAACTACTCTCCACAATCTGCAGTGCAACGTAACGGTTAAGAGCAAAGACAAGAGCTAGTTCACTTCCATTACCTACTAGGTGATACCTTAATGTTCTCTTCTGTTTTAAAAAAAAAAAAAAAAATCCTTGTACCCAATTTCAGGGCTTATTGTGAGAATTACATGAGTTAATGTGTCAAGTGCTTAGCAGAGTGCCTGGCAGACCATTATGGTACATATGCTCTCCAAAAAGGACAGCTAAAGCACACACAATACTCTAAAGAACGCGTTCATCTTGGGTGGTATTTGTTGAAACTTTCCTTTTGGTACTTTTTAAAAGGCCTTTTTAAATTTTTCAACTGCCCTTTCCAATGCTTTTTGCTATCTATATCCCCTTACAGAATTCAGATGTTCAAGAATTAATTCTCTCCAATTAATTTGGGCTTACTGACATCACCTTTTAACCATTACACTTTTATCCCTTTGTCCCAATACGTCTTCTATCTCCTCATCTAAACAGTAATTTATACTTAATTTATGCAGCCATTTATAAGAAAAGCCATGACATGAGCTAGCTGCTGAAGAATCATAGGGGAATTTGCTGACTAATTCCCTTAGACCCCTAGCTCCTGCTCCTAGCCCTCCACTAGGATTCATAAGTCTGGGGATGGACCCAGGAATGTGCATTTTCATTACAGGCCCTGCCAGATGGTTCTGAGGTTAAGAAATACTGTTTTGGTGTAGGAATTCTCAGAAAAAGGGAGGGGGGATTAAAAAACAAACAAACAAACAAACCACAAAGTCCTTGTCCCAGGCAAGAGTCCCTTTATTAACAAGATAGCTCCTTCCTCCAGTATAACTGAGGTGAGCTGAGGTATAAAAAAGGCCATTAATTACTATGCTAATATAGTAAATGAAAAGACTACTTTCACCATTCCATTCTCACTCTATGGTTGCCTGTCACCTCTAAAAACTCACCTTATACTCCAAAGAGGTTTTTCAGAGATTGTAAGAACACTTGCAAACTTTTAAGAGTTCCAAACAAAAAAACAAACCACTATGAAAAGATTAGGAATGTAGATTAGACTTAAGTAAGCTAGTAAATAAACATTTTATTTGTACTTAGGATTAGAAGTTTTACAGGCCCCCAAAAAACTATTAGCCTATGTGTTTTACAACATGACTTCAATAGTTCTCTGTACCTAATTCTAATCTCTATGAACCGGAAATAAAAATAGCAACCATACTTCTTTTCCTGATTATCTCATCTGATCCTGACTTTCTCTGGTTGTAGTTTGACTTTTCAAATTTCAATCAGAAAAGCTACCTCCCTTCTTAAAACATACATGGTAAAAATTGAAAGAAAGAACAAAACACTTACTGAATCCTTCTTACGGGACCTCTCCTTCTTCATTTTTCCTCCTGCTGCTCTGATACTGACTCTGTTCTCTCCTCCCAGGTAACCTCGGCAATTAGCTGACCCACAGAAACATTTCTGAGCTTCTTTTCTGTTTAAAGGGCACAGGAAACATGTTATGTGAAAGTAAACCATATAAAAAATGTCAGCAATGTAACAATCACATATGAAAGAGAAGTCTATTCAGCCTAAAACAAGTAATTATTTTAAGAGACTCCAACAAACCTGGTACCATTTAAAGGAAATGCCTGAAAACTGCTCTTAAAAAATATTCATTCTTTTTCCAACCTTCCCTTATTAAAATCAGCCAAGAAGTCAATGAGAAATTTCTTCATTTTGTGAGTACCTACCAATATGTAAAAATAAAAGAGCATATACACATTTGAGCTGAGAACAAAACTGCTTAAATAGTTCAACATCTCTTATATGTAAATGTAACAGGCACACAGAATAAACAAAACATACTGTTATAAATACATATACACAGATATAAAATTCAGTATGTCCAGGTTATTTAAAAGGAAACATGTAAAAGTTACCACATAAGGATGAGATACTAGTAAGAAACATTGTTAAGAAGTAACTACTACCACGGAGTCAAGGAAAAGTGGTGGAAAGAACACAGGCCTAGTCTACAAGCTTGGGTACAAACCATCACAGCCATTTATTCTGTGACTTGAGAAAAGCATGAAAAACTATACTAAAGTAAACTGATAGATTCAGTTTATGACAGCAGTAATCAAAGGCATAAACATAAATCATTCAATAAATAGAGCAGGACATCACAAACACTTGATTTCTAGTATTTCTAGTACCCTTTCCTTCAAAGAGGACAGTGCAAACATAAGAGCAAAAAAATACAGAGCCCTACATACAACGTGGTCTGGACTCATCCCGCGACTGCTACACCACTGACTGCCTAGATCCATTGGTTCATGAGGTGCTGCAAAACGCTGATACTGTTACTACTTCATTTATTAGCTGAAATGACCTCCAAGAGAAGAACTTCTTCTCCTCAACTATTTGGTTTAATCTAAAGCAGAATTCACTTGGGGAAGGCAGGATAAATGCTTGACTCTTTTTTTTTTCCCTTTTTAAACTTTTAAACTACTTTTTAAAAATCATGAATTGATTGATTCACCAATGTTCACTGCAGCATTATTCACAATAGCAAAAAAGTGGAAACCTCCCAAATGTGCATTAACATGTGAATGGAAAAACAAAATACGGTATATACATGCAGTGGAATATTATTTAGCCATTAAAAAGGAATGAACTATTGGTACATGCTACAACATGAATGAACCTTGAAAACACTGAATGTTTTCTAAATGAAGTCACAAAGGACAACATTTACATGATTCCACATATGTGAAATATCCAGAAAAATCCACAGATATAGAAAGTAGATTAGTGTTTGCCAGGGGCTAAGAAAAGGGGGAAATCGGGCATGAGAGCTTATTAATACATGTGGGGTCTGCTTCTGGGTTGCTGAAAATGTTCTGGAACTAGACAGTGGTGATAGTTGTACAAAATATGACTGTACTACTAAACTCTATACTTTAAAAAGTTAAAAAGGTGAACTTAATGTTATGTGACATTTTCCACAATAGAAAATATCTAAAACATGGGAAAAAAAATCATAAATCGGTTCCCTTCTATTATAACTAATGCAGTTTTATTTTTAAAGTATCATTAAATCTCATGGGTTTTACATAGTAAGTTTCAAATCACCGTAGTTATTATCCTTATTGATAATAAGTGTTATTATATAAGCTTAAGTGTTAATGAGAACTCTCTCACTAATATGAGAGCCTATTCAAGCTAGCTCCAAGTTCCTTTGACATGACTCTCACCTACTATAACTGGTTTTCTGACACAACAAAATAATCCAAGATCACCTTGTTCAATTTCTGTCTTAACCTGAAATCAACACCCCTCCAAGGAACCCTGTTCCTTTTAGTGGGGTTCTATGAAACCACAACATAGATGCTAGGGGTATTCACTGCTACTGCATCAGTTATTATTTTGGCTAGAGAGAACAAGTAAATTATCTTTCACAGTACAATGAGTAGAGATCAGAAAAAATTAGTCATGAGCTGGTAACAAAAAGATAAATGATAGATACACAGGGATTATATTATATTCTCTTTACATGCACAAACACACTAGACATTTCTATAATAAAAAGGGTTTTTTAAAAATTACATATGGAACATAATTATATAGATAAGACAGCATGGAATTCAGAGGAAGATAATACAGTTCCTGCATAAATCCCTTAATGTCCACAAATGTCATACAGTAGGAAAAACACACAAAACTGAAAGAATAAAGACCTGGAGGCACATACAACTTTTTAGTAGTTCACATCAAAGTTTTATATCTCTATATCTGAACAGTCTACTGCCCCATCAGAAGCAGCAAAACAGAATCAAAACAATACTCACCCGTATCTTTGGAACTGATAGTCAAATGTTAACTCTGAGCCTGAAGTAACCAGTTTGGTGGTAAAAAACCCGACCCTCAGTTGTCCGTTCACAGTCCACTGAGATGTTGTTTTTAAAAGAAAAAAAAATTAGTAACTGATTAATCTGTGTTTTTCTTTTTCTTAAGATTTTATTTATTTATTTGTCAGAGAGAGAGAGAGAGTGCACAGGCAGACAGAGTAGAAGGTAGAGGCAGAGGGAGAAGCAGGCTCCCTGCTGAGCAAGGAGCCCGATGTGGGACTCGATCCCAGGACGCTGGGATCATGACCAGAGCTGAAGGCAGCCACTCAACCGACTGAGCCACCCAGGTGTCCCAATATGTGTGTTTTTCTTTAAAGATCCTCATCTGCCTTAATTATATATGTACCTTTAGACAATAAAAGCTTTTCCAAATAGCAAATAGGGAACTTTCTTTTAAAATAAATGTATCTGTTACTCTTACTTAATACCATCAACTATAATTTGTCTCTAATAAAAGCAACTGCTACTTTAATTTGTATAATATACATTTCCACACAGCAAATATGCACTTCTACTAAAAATAGACAAATAGGGAATGCTTGGCATCACTGACTATAATTATAGGACAATTGGTATTACCTTATGTTAAAAGTCTGTATTCTAAGATAAAATGGAGCATGGAACCATGTATAATGATGCCAAATGTTTAATTTCAACAAAAACTGGTGGTCATATGACTCAGTGTAGTGAAAGGGAAGGAAAGCATGAGAACGGCTGCGTGAAACTCAAAAATTAAAATAGGACTAAATACACATGGGTTAGAACTTGTAGTTCCAGAACATGTAAGATATAAGTCAACTATAGAGCTCCTGTCCAGACCATGTGAACATGTTACTGATGAAAAAACCCAGACTTAAAGAGATAAAGGGACAGAGTACACCTGGAGTCTCACAGTTAGACGTGTGGCCACCAGCTATAGGCAAAACTAGAACCAGAATTTTGGTTAAATGATTATGGACTGGGTTCTCCTATTTATTAATATGGCTTGGCTCTTGGAAGAGCCATATCTAAGATCTATTAGTACACAGATTCAAAAGACAAAAAAATTTTTAAAAAAACCACTATTTTAATATGAGATGGAACCATTGATTGAGAACCATTAATATGAATTGAGAACCATTACTTCTCTAGGGAGCAGGTCCATAGCCTTCTTAGCCTAAAAAAGAACCAATGTTCTAACATATATATTGTTTCATCTAAGCTCAAAAACAAATTCAATAAATGAATTTATCAAGTGTCAACTATGTGCCAGGCATAGGGACATCGAGATGAGCAAGACCCAGAGCCTAGCCCTGTTGAGGAGAAGCAGTGTAACCACATGTGTATCACATATAATCCTTCTCATCTGTGGCTATTTAGCCCCTTATGTTATTAAAACAGCCAAATTTGGCACCTGGATAAGAGCTGATAAAAATCTGAATATAATAGTACACGCTGGACTTCATCAAAATTAAAGTTCAGTTTGGTACCTTGAAATAACAGCTAAAATTAGGGCGCCTAGGTGGCTCAGTCGCTAAGCGTCTGCCTTCAGCTCAGGTCATGATCTCAGGGTCCTGGGATTGAGCCCCACATCAGGCTCCCTGCTCGGTGGGAAGCCTGCTTCTCCCTCTCCCTCTCCCACTCCCCGTGCTAGTGTTCCCTCTCTTACTGTGTCCCTCTCTATCAAATAAATTAAATCCTTAAAAAAAAATAGATAAAAATTTATGGGCAAAGAGAAGTGACAATTAAATGCAATGGGAGTTCCTGGATTGGCTCCTAGTCGAGAAAAAAATGAGAGATAACAAAATCTGAATAAAGACTTTAGATTAGTTAACAGTTAATAGTATTTCTTGGATTGGGTACCTGTATAATGGTTATATACAATGTGAGCATTTGGGGAAGCTAAGTGAAACATATGGAACTCTATACTGTTTCTGCACTATTTTATATACTTAAACTTATTTCAAAACAAGATTTTTAACAATAGAGTAAGAAAAAACAATTCAAATGATTGAAAAAATAAAATCCACAGGTACCCTTAATGTAGAACAGCAATTTTTTTTTTTTAAGATTTATATTTATTTATGACAGAGAGAAATAGCGAGAGGGAATACAAGCACAGGAGAGTTGGAAAGGGGAATGCAGGCTCCCTGCCGAGCAGGAATCTGTTGCAGGGGCTGCATCCCAAGACCCTGGGATCATGATCTGAGCCTAAGGCAGATGCTTAATGACTAAGCCACCCAGGTGCCCCAAGAGAACAGCAATCTTGAACAAATATCCCAAACTCTAAATCTACCTCAACTTACTTTTTGAGTTTCACAGTTTGGTTCACAGCTGTGATTCATGAAACGAGAACAGTTTCCTTTCTGAGTGGCATCTATTATCTAGGGAAAAGGATCATTTTAAGAGTTAGAAATGAGACTTTAAAATACATGTATATTTTGTGAAGGAAAGGCATTAGGCAAATGTACGACCTATATTTCCAATCCCTCCTCCTCTTTTATGTATAGACACATCCAAGAGACAAATATCCAACGGCCTCCTCTAGGAGATCTGCTAACCATAAACATCTTACTTATAAGCAAAGTTATCTCCATATCCACCAATAATTCTTCCATTTACTTTTAGCTACTTCTTATACCCTCTTATATTCCAATCTCACTTCTCATGTACAAAACTCCATTTTAAAGTGCATGTTATACCACAGTGCAGGAGCTCTCAAACTACAGTGTCTATCTGAATTCCCAGAGAGCTTGTTAAAACTCCTGCTGGACCCACCCTCAGAAATAGATTCAACAGGTGCTGGGGTAGGACCGAGGGGTTTTCCAGGACTGAATAAAGAGACAGATATGAGAATCTAGCTAAATTTTATTATACCAGACATTAAAGAGATTTGTAAAAATGTAAAACAATGGTACTCATGTTTAAAACAAAAATCATTTGGAAATGCTTTATTTTCATAAAAACATTTATGTCAACGTATAATGGGGCTTGTTGGTTTTCAGTGGTTTAGTAAGTATTTTTCCATTTCTCTGCTTTAATTTTTATTTAAGTTTGACAAATAAAACCCACATCAAAAAAAAAATAAACCTCTTTGGAGATATCAGTCATTTTTAAGAGTTATAATATGAAGCATGTATGTTTACATTTACCTATATATGTAAATATCTCCCTCTCCCACTCTTTTTATAAACAAAAACTATATATACTATTCTGCTCCTCTTTTTGGTCATTTAATGTCTTTTAAAAATCTGTCCGTTCAATGACCCTCTCAAACTCAACAATATCCGGATCTGTTTCAAAGCAAACACATTCATGCTGCTCACCTCATCATTCTTCAGGGCCATGAAATAGTAGTGGATGTTTTTGTTCCGTGCATACTCCTTTACCCGGGCTTTAAACTCTTTATGATCAAGTACTTCTCCACAATATTCTAGCACAAAGGTGTTCCTGGCAAAACAAAGGGGAAACAATAGCACTTCCTGTCTAGGAGCTTTATGGAAAACATACATCCCTATAAAAATAATGCATTTAATAAAATGTAAGTGGATAAATTTGGTATCATACAAAATATATATAAAGTACCTAGCATCTAACTGAGGTTTTCTCCTTCCTAATATTTTTCCAAAAAATGTTGATTATAAGACACTTTTACATTTATACATACTACCAAAATATGTATTCCTGATCTAACCAGATATTAAAACAAACACTCAAGTCTGGTTTATAATCATGAAAACAGTGATTTACAGCTGAGAAACAGCTCTGAGGAAATCAGGAGGCACTGAAATATTAAAGGCTTTATGCCTAAAAAAAAAGATGGCAATTTAAATATAGCGGCCCTTCTACTGCCTTTATTCAAAGGTCTCTGAAGATGTTAAAGGTCAAATAGACCTTTTCTCTCACAACATCCTCTGTGAGTTTTCTCTAGTATCTATCAATACTCATGATTAATCACTCTCCTTGGCGTCTCTCAGATACCTTCCAACCCTGACTGGTCTTTCCTTGGTTATTTAGTATCTTCAGTACTGGAGAAGAAAGGAGTATACTATACACAGGGAATGTCATGGTATTTAACAGTAACTAACTAGCAGATTAGCTCCAAAGCCTTCCTCACCCTGTGCATATCTCACAATATGTCCTCTTTGACGGGAATGATCTACCAGTGAAGATCTAAATAGTTTGGAACTAAAGCATGAAACTGACACTACCATCAGCATATGGAAACTATATGAGTAGGAAAATATGGGAAATCTGGAAACATTCAGTACTAGGGTATTTTACCAAAGCAGGGTTCTTTATGAAAAGCTTAGAAAGGCTAAAGAGCTTTAGGAAACAATTGAAAATATTTTCTTTTTAAAAAAAAATTTTAGGGACACCTGGGTGGCTCAGTCGGTTGAGCAGCTGCCTTCGGCTCAGGTCATGATCCTGGAGTCCCGGAATCAAGTCCCAAATCGGGCTCCTTTGTCCAGCAGGGAGCCTGCTTCTCTCTCTGCCTCTGCCTGCCACTCTGCCTGCTTATGTGCTTTCTCTGACAAATAAATAAATAAAATCTTTAAAAATTTTTTTTTTATTTATTTACTCGTCAGAGAGAGAGAGCACAAGCAGGGGAAGCAGAAGGCAGAGAGAGAAACAGACTCCCCACTGAGCAAGGAGCCCGACTCAGGACTTGATCCCTGGACCTGGGGATCATGACCTGAGTCAAGCGCAGATGCTTAATCAACTGAGCCACCCAGGCAACCTCATAATAATCATTATTAAACTTCAGTGTAACAAACACATTATTTTCCTACAAAGTAGCTAACCAACTTCAACAATACAAAAATAAAGTGAAAGAGGATTAAGACATAACTTACGAAGGAAGGTCTTTGGCAGCTCTCAAGCCCCAGCCTTTCTTTTCTGTGAGTATGACTTCCACATCTGCATGCTGTTTTCTCTGAAACCGTCTATTGGAACAATAATCCCCATTTGGACACCGAGAAGAACTAAAATGAGAAGTGGAGAAAATTAATCTCTAATGACACACAGGATGTGGATAAAAACGATCAAATAACAACAACAACAACAACAAAAATAAACAAGAGATACAACAAAGGCATCTGCCTCGGTGCAGAAACAGGGAACAAGGCCCACTTGAGGAATGGAGAAAACAGCAGAAGATGACTGGTAAGAGAAGTGGGCTGCAGGAAGATTGAAGGGCAGGTCGTTAATCAATTATGTAGAGTTATGAACACCAGCTTAAATTTGAACCTGATCCTGACAACTACTCCAAGTTTGACTGTGGGAAACACATAAAGAAAGGTATCCTATACTTCCCATCTCTTTAGCAAGGTTGGAAGGAAAAGTCAGAAAAGTGCAGAGGCCAGGGCCACAATGTCAAGTTAGAAGAATAGTGCTAACTCCTCTTCTTACACATGTATGTCATCTCTACTTTCAGTTTAATAAAAGAATATCAAAGTGCTTTCTCTTTATTTTTCTGAGGTATAGGTTTTATTCTTGTAACACTAGAACATGAGCAAAATAAAAAACTGAGTTTGAAAGAAAACACTTTATTAACACTAAGAACAAAGTATCTACATTATAAATCACCTTCATATTCTCTTCGTGTTAAAAAATGATCCAAGTTTTCATCAAACTGGTAAAAAAAAAATTAACCACACTTTTTTAATGTAAAGACGTTTATGCCTTATAAGAAAAATACAGAAGAAAATGTCTTAAGAGGAGATAAATAATTATGAGTTAACTATAAACAGACTATATAAAGCAACCTAGAAAAGATTAAGATAGGTCTGTATGCATTGCTCTGAACAGGCATCCAAAACATATTTAATTATGTGTTTATGTGTGTTTGGGCCAGGGTGAGGGGATAAAATTCAAAAAAGTACATATAGGAAAGATTTCATTTCTATACGTAAAAAGTGGAAATATCTATGAATGTTGGTATAGGTATAAAAAGTACCAGGAAAGACCAGAAATAGAGGGATTGGGGTTTGGAAGACATTTTACTTTATGCACTTTTGAAATGCTAGGGTTTTATCTCATCTTATAGTAAAAGCTAAAAAAATACCAACATTTACCTCTCAAGACACGAACATTGTAAGAGATAAAAGGTTACAACATTAGTTTTAGGGCTACTTTACAGAGCACTGTCAAAGTATACTATAATGTACAATGCAAGAGAAATCTATCTCCTTATAAACACTGTTATACATTGGAGATTTCATTGCTTATAAATACTCAACGACAGGTAGAAGGAGAAAAGTTAAATCTGATTCATCACTAATTCTTTCTACTATTTTGAGACATTTAATAGAACGATTGAACAAAATCAGAACATCTTAATTTACTTACCATTCAATCATGAGGAGACGATTAAGACAATCTTCCCCACATGCTATTTCACCTTGAGCTCTTTCATCTTTAGAAAGAGGTGTACACTCACACTGCATTCGCTTAATATCCCGATGGGATTTATTCTTCTTTCTATTAGGTAAAATTTCGTAAGAATTGGTTTAAGAAATCTCCTGGCAATGATACAACGTACACAATCAAATATGTGCTAAATCTCCTTAGTTTCACATTTAATGAGTCTGGTTAAGTCAAACATTCAAAAGGAAGAAAACATCTCCTCACTAGTATCTGTGAGACTAAAAACACTAAGACTTATGTTGCAAAGAGAATGAGAGGCAACCTTCAGCCCTGACAAATGGGAGGATAGGTTAAGTTCAAGTCTATCATTTTGGACTCAGCCCTCATTTCCTAGTCCATTTCAGCTAAGTCTCAAATTCTGAGCAATTTCAAGTGTTAATAGTCATATTTGGCTCAGGAGAAAAATGAGAATCAAAGGTGACACAGCTGATTAAAATGAAGTTTAAGAATCAGTCCTCCTGGGAATGTGTGGGGGCCTCAGTCGGTTGGGCATCTACCTTTGGCTGGTTATGATTCTGGAGTCCTGGGATTGGGTCCTACATCAGGCTCCTTGCTTAGAGGGGAGCCTACTTCTCTCTGCCTGCTGCTCCCTCTGACAAATAAATAAATAAATAAAAATCTTAAAAAAATAAAAAGAATCAGTCCTCCTTGATGAGCAAATAATGGTTGAGAAAAAAAGATATTTGATTTATAAAACACAGAGACTGAGGAAGGAAAGAAGTTGCTAAAAAAATAAATTAAAAAATAAGGTGTTTTTTTTTTTTTCTTTTAGAGAAAGCATGAGAGCATATGCACACACAAGCATTGGAGAAGGAACAGAAGGAGAGAATCTTAAACAGGTTCCATGCCCAGATCAGAGCTCAATGCAGGGCTCTCTCTCACAACCCTGAGATCATGACCTGAATCAACTATCAAGAGTCAGACGATTAACAGACTGAGCCACCCAAGCATCCATAAAAATAAGACTTTTATTAAGAGTTTAACTCAATAGGGGCACCTGGGTGGCTCAGTGGGTTAAAGCCTCTGCCTTCGGCTCAGGTCATGATCCCAGGGTCCTGGGATCGAGCCCCGCATCAGGCTCTCTGCTCGGCAGGGAGCCTGCTTTCCTTCCTCTCTCTCTGCCTGCCTCTCTGCCTACTTGTGATCTCTGTCTGTCAAATAAATAAAATCTTTAAAAAAAAAAAAGAGTTTAACTCAATAAATCTTTCAGTAACAATGTATTTCTAAAAATCTTATTTAACAGAAAATTAAATGATTAAAAAAAGAATGAAGTATAATTTACAGAACTCTATTACAGAATAATAAGGCACTGCAGAATAATCAGAGGACAAAACTTTCTCAACACAGACTGATTTGGGGGTATAGAGGGAAAACTGTTCAAAACGGACTGGGTTCATAAATACCTACACCAGAGATTGCAAAGAAAGTGAAAATATGATTATTTCCTGCCTTTTATGTTGAACTTTCTTTCTGACCCTTGTCCAAAAGGGAGGAAAAAAAAATCAAAGATGGTTGAAGAAGATCGCCTTCTTAAGATTAGGGCAGTCTGACTCCAACTATCAGACAGTGAAGAGCACAGCTGCTCTATGTGGCTGTCTTAATCTCCTAACTAATCTGCTTTCATCTTCAACATATGGTCTATTACAGTCCCAACTTAAAAAGTACCTGAAGAGTGTCCTGACAGCTTCAACTAAGTTTGAGTAACAGGAATGACTCATCTGGATCAATTCAAGGTATCATTCATTAATAAGTGTATGACTATTCTCAGTCTGAAGAAATGGAACTAAAGATAAACCATATTATCTATTTACAAGTACTTTAAGAACTATAGTTTTGAAAAATCAGCAAAAGCTTTATTTTGTATTGCTTTGTAAGGACTAATGGGCACGGATTCAGATAACCCTATTTTCATTAAACCTAAGAAAATTTTTTCACTATACTCAATACCATTGCAAAATTTGTGTTCTTGGTGGCTCCTAAAGGCCCAGCATATAAGAATAAGCACTTTAAAAATGCTGAATATGGGGCACCTGGGTGGCTCAGTGGGTTAAAGCCTCTGCCTTCGGCTCACATCATGATCCCAGGGTTCTGGGATTGAGCCCTTGCATCGGGCTCTCCGCTCAGCGGGGAGCCTGCTTCCTCCTCTCTCTCTGCCTGCCTCTCTGCCTGCTTGTGATCTCTGTCAAATAAATAAATAAAATCTTAAAAAGAAAAATGTTGAATATATATAAATGCTTCCCACTCCAAAAAGCTCTCCAATGTTCCCAAGAGCCAGATCTATATGTATGGTGTTACATGTATCTGGATCTCACTGCTGAGCAAATCCCAGAGGACTGGGTTGATTAGTTTTACTTTAGTCTTTTAAAGACCCTGTTCGTGAATAGTCACACAATTCCTAAAAACTACTACTTAAAATATTCAATATTGGGAGCCCGAGGAAGAAGGCGGAGGCGGTGCTGGTAACTGAGCGGAGCCCAGTGACAGGATGTTGGTGTTGGTTTTAGGAGACCTGCACATCCCACACCAGTGCAACAGTTTGCCGGCTAAATTAAAAAAACTGCTGGTGCCAGGAAAGATTCAGCACATTCTCTGTACTGGAAACCTTTGCACCAAAGAGAGTTATGACTATCTGAAGACGCTGGCCGGTGATGTTCATATTGTGAGAAGAGACTTCGATGAGAATCTGAATTATCCAGAACAGAAAGTTGTGACTGTTGGGCAGTTCAAAACTGGTTTGATCCATGGGCATCAAGTTATTCCTTGGGGAGATATGGCCAGCTTAGCCCTGTTGCAGAGGCATTTTGATGTGGACATTCTTATCTCGGGACACACACACAAATTTGAAGCATTTGAGCATGAGAATAAATTCTACATTAACCCAGGTTCTGCCACTGGAGCATATAATGCCTTGGAAACAAACATTATTCCTTCATTTATGTTGATGGACATCCAGGCTTCTACAGGTGTCACTTATGTGTATCAGCTAATTGGAGATGATGTGAAAGTAGAACGAATTGAATACAAAAAATCTTAAAAGCCAGGCCTGTCTTGCTGGGTTTTTTTTTTTTTCAATTCCCCTGTTCAAATCAAGTAATTAAACATATGAGCCACAAAATTGTATCACTTTTATAATAGTTTGCAGTAAAATATATCATCTTCTGTTAATACAATGTTCTAAGCTTCTTATAAACTATAAGAATATATTGTTTCCATATTTGATTTCTATGAAAAAGTGTCCATCATACAGTAAATGGTCATGCATTAAGAAAAATTTATCCTTGTAAATATCTTCAAAGTTGATTATCTGGAACTTTATTACAAAAGTAGTGCATGAGGAAAATGAATCTAGATTTTCTTGTATATGTTTTTCTCTCCAGTAATAAACAGTTACCTTTCATTCATTTAAAAAAAAAAAAAATCAGTATTTTAAACTTAAGCTTAATTTACTAGATGTAAATTATAACTGTAAGAGACTCTCCATATCATAAAAAGGTTTTTACTTTTCAAGATTTATTTATTTATTCAGAAAGAGAGAGGGGAAATGTGTGAGCAGAGAGAGGGGCAGAGGGAGAGAGAGAGAATCTCAGACACCAAGCCCATCACGAAGCCTGACACAGGGCTCAATCTCACAACCCTGAGATCATGACCTGAATTAAAACCAAGAGTCCAATGCTCAACTAACTGAACCCAGGAGCCCCAAAAAAGCTTTTTTGTTTAAATACGAAAAACTTCTCATGAGACCTAATTTTAACTTTACCTTAACCACAGTGAAAAAAAATTTCATTATAAAAAAAATTTTTAACACTTAAAAGGATGATGGCTAGGTAGAGTCTTAGGTGGAAGAGAAATTTGCAAAAGGAAAGACTACAGGTATTTTTGTTTAAAAAGGCACATTCAACACATATTCATATTGGGAAAACAAGAGGACTGTCGAGGAAAGGTGAAAGAAAGCGGGCTGTGCAGCTGCTTTGGAGGACTATGTTTCATTACTCCTGTTCTCATTATACTTGCTTCTTGTTAGGGATCTGTAGTAAACCGTTTTATCATTTAATTCTAAAATAGTGGTTATGCTATTGCCAAATTTAATCATTTAATCTATTAGCAATAGACTAAAAAACCAGACAGAAAATGGTGTTCTAGTCTAGTTCCAGTTTTATGAAGTACCTTTCAAAGATATTTCATTCTGAGCATTTTTGAAAAGGAAAAAAAAAAAAATCAAGCACAATTACATTTTTCTTTTTCTAAGAGCAGACTATTTTGCTGAGATTTTGTTTCATTGTTCATCATAGTTACACAAGTAAAAGGAATTTAAGAAAAATAGGGCTGGCCTAAATCATACTTTCAGAACCCAAAAGGTAATGAGACTCCCCCCTTAAATAAAAAATAATTAGACATCCCCTTCCTAGGCAGGGGGGGGGATGGATACTGAGGGAAGGACCCTATGACATCAAATCTAAATAGGTAAATACTTTTTCAATTGTTTAATGTATATCTTATCACAAACCTGTATTTCATACAATTGACCTCATATAACGTGAATCATTGAAAGCTGATTTTTTTTTTTTTTAACAAAAAGAGGTTAAAATTTGTTGCACAAGTATTAAGCAAGCTTACCTTTCTGTTAAATAAACATTTTCTTCAATCAGATCGAAGTAACAAGGCATCTTCCCTTGCTTGGCATATTCTTTCCATCGCTGTGGGTCCCTGAAGTCCTCCATGACACAAGAAGGCCCAACCAGGGCTGAGCCCGGAGGCACTGCTGTTTCCCCTGGCTCTACCGCCACTCGAACTTTCTTTCTGTCCTGAAGTTCACCTTCACTTTCAGAATCACTCTCCAATTCCTGTCTCCTTTTTTTTGGAGGGCCTCTATCTTTCATATCATTTTTTTCTAAGTTTTTTGAAAGATCTTTCTTTTCATTCACAGTTAAAGACTCCTTAACGGAATTGCTGCTTATTTCAGGTGCTTGCACTGACCCCTTGTCCTTCTGAAGGGACAGAAAAAACTTACTGGACTGCGTTGAAAAATGAGATCCTCCACGTTGATCCCAATTCTCCTCCTCTTCACGGTCATCTGTTAAGGAATCTGGTACCTGCCCTTGAATTCGATCATACACAACCCCAGTTCCAGGAGGTCTACCTGCTGATCTTGGATCCCAGTAGCCATTGCCTTGCCAGTAATTACGTGTCCCACCATAATGCTCTGCACTTTGCTGATACTTGTGTCCGCCACAGGCTCCATAGCTGCTGTCAGGTTGTTGATACGTGGTAGTAGGCTTTTCTTGTTGAGAGAATTCCCACCCTAGGTTTCGGAGCTCTTCTGATGAACGGAAACCATCCACTCGCTCACAAGAAGAAGAAAAATTCAACTCTGTTTTTCCCAGTCGACTATCCGGCCTGTTAGGGAAAGTGATCTGTTGCCGAGACTTACTTGGGACATCTTCAAAATCATCAGAAGAATAAACTGGCAGCTCCTCCTGCTGCCTAGAAGCTATTTTGGCTTTTGTGGTTTCCTCAGAATTTGGATGACCTAGAAAGTCAGATTTCACATCTGTATGACTTGTACTATCAACCCCATCACTCTGAGGATGAGCAATTTCAGATAGGTGGTTATCTATTTGTTTTCTGCTAGGCTGTGAGAAAGAAACTTCCAGATTCTTCTCTGTCCCTTTATGATGGAAGAACTTCTCGGTTTGAGAACAGGGTTTGCTTGCTACACTCTCGAATTTTTCCTCATATGAATGTCTCCTTGGCTCCAATCTCTCATCTTCCCAGTGGTCAGAATAGTGTCTGTAACTCTGACTACTTCGAGAAGAACAAGGACTGGTTTCTTCCATGGGCAAAGTAGAATTCTTTGGCACTACCACAACAGACTGAAGACGGTTTCTTGGAATACTGCTATCATCAGAATCTGTATCTTCAGAGTCACTTTCATCACTTGAACTTTCAGAAGAACCAGAATAATCTTCATGGACAGTAGATACAATCTCTGAGGCATGCCCACTACTGTCACATTTTAAGGTGTACGTTACACCATCACTGTCTTCCATGGTTAAATTCAAGTCACAAGACGAAAATACAACTTCTGAATCATCAGAGGTATGCACATGTCCTCTTCCTCCTTCTTCATCTAAAGAGATTTCAGCTCTTCCTCTTCTATCAGGAAATATGGAATTCCCTTCTTCTTGAGCCTCTTGCACACATTTCCCAGACAACCCATTATTATGCCTATTTTCCCAAGAAGCAAATCCTCTTCCTGAATCAGGCAGGCCGCTACCTACTTCTGCTACTGTTTCTTCCTCTGCATGCTTTAAAAACTCTGTGCTTTTACTCTTTAGCACAGCATCCAAAACCGGAGATGTGTTCTCTCCGCATTGCAACAGAGTTAAACTGTCCACTTTTATTCCTGGTGGAAGACTTGGAAGAGATGAAGCAATGACTGAACTCTCAATAGGTTGATATAAATCATCAAAATGGTTAACAGAAGCCGAACTAGTGCTACCAACATTCTGCTTATATTCTTCACATGCAAATTTTGAGTGCTGATCTGTCAGATTTCTATTATCACATATAACTGTTTTTGATTTCAAATGCACATTCATAAAGCTATTTGAAGAAATCTTCATAACTGAAGGCTCAATCTTTTCAGCTTCAGAATGATGCAATGAAGGGTTCTTGTCATTTGAAGTACAGCATATATCTGAATCTTTGGTTTTACAGCAAGAAACTGTCATATCGACTGGTTCTTTAATTACAGTTTTAGAATAATCTATAGTCATAACCGGCAAAGACATAAGTTTATCTTGGTGTGGTGGCACCAGAGGTTCTGCTTCTCTAAATGGGCTTCCTGACTTACTATGCAGCATGCCACTATCATCCGAGTCTTTTTCTTTACATCTATTAACATTCTGAAATCCATTTGATGGAAGCATGCATCCTTTGACCAAAGGGGACACCTCCGATCCAGTCACACTATCATCAGACGACATCAAAACAGTGTCAGCTTTAGAAGTGCAAAATGCTGCCAAATCAGATTCTGCTCCAGGAGATCCATTTATATTTAATTCTATGGGGCAATAACTTCTTAATTGATCATTCTTCACCTTAGATAAAGAGTCTAATTCCTTAATACTACCATGGCTATCATGTCCTATAAATTCAGATTTAAAAATAAGTGATTCATCTAGCTTTTTAAAAGTAGGTGAATCATTTAATCGATTTGATGGAGAGGGAGACCCAGTCTTTTCTCTTTCAGGAATTTTACTAATCATTCTTAAATCACTACCTTTTGAACAAGGAGCCTGTAAATTAGAAGAATGAGACGGTTTGATTTCCTCATTTAATTCTGTACAACAGAAAGAATTTTTAAATTTATCAGACTTGGATATAGATTTTGAAAGGGTAGATTTGTAACGGGAAGCACTGTTATCATGCTTGGAATAGGATGACCCCCGTCGGAATACCAGTTCATTAGGGGGAGAACAACATCTTTTCATTGCTTCATTTTCTGAAGTCCTTTTTGATTCTCTTTCTAATTTGGAAGAATACTTTCCTCTCTTCTCCATCTCTAAGTAAGAGGACTCAGTTTTGCAGTCCCTATCAGATTTAGAATAGGATGATGATGTCCTTAGGTCTCTGTAAGAGAAGGAATGAGAGGAGGTACGCCTTGAGTAGGTCTTCTTATACTCCTCTTCTGAGTCAGAACTCTCTCGAGCTCTGTTATCTGTATATGGCCGAGAATAGCGTGCCCTTTCTCGATAAGGGGAACTCCGATGATAGCGACGATCAGAGTCGTAATAATGGGATCGCTCCGACCGGGAATAGGATAAACTAGTTCTAGAGCCTCTGTCAGACCTGGAACGAGATCTGCTCCGCCTTCGCTCTCTCTCTGATCTACATCGAGAAGATATATACCGAGTATCTCTTTCAAGTTTTGAGTAGCTAAAATATTTATCATCTCTCTCTGTTTTAGACCGTGAAGATTTCCCTAAATCCTCATTTTTTAAAGGTGCTAAGCTCTTTTTTGAATCTCTTTCCTTTTCAATGCTTGCTGAAAATTTTAAATCATGTGATCTTTGACTTGAGGAAGTCCGTACAGAATCTTCATCAGATTCTGAAGCAAGAAAGGTGCCTTCAGATTGCGAGGATTTCTTCTTAGAACCTGTTTTTTTGGAGCCCAGATTACTCTTAGAACTATCTGGAATTTCTTCTTCCTTCCCAATATGGGAATCCTCTTTTTGTGAGGGAATATCTACTTGCTCATTCAAATTTTGAGTTATGTGTTCTTCTGAACTATTAGATACAGCAGCCTCCTGCTTAGTGTCCACTTCTGAAGATTCTGGTACAGTTGTAACTGGTGGTTCCTTCAGTGCTCTAACTGCTACATCTACTGGTGCTGTCATCAGAACTGGGATTGGTGTGTGTGGCAAGGCCACTGGCTCTGTTACTGGTGCTGGTGGTGAGGGTGTTGTGGCCTGAGGAGGTGGAGGTGGTGGAGGTGGAGATGAGGGTGGTGAGTCTACAATTGTTGATTCTGCTATGACTGCTGGTAATGGTGCTATGGGAGGAGGTGGAGAGGTCACTGCTGTGCCAGGTGTCAGCAGTGGCCTGGATGTCACATGAAGCAGATGTTTCTTAAAATGAATTTTGCCCAATTCTACCCTTGATTTTGGTGGGGAAGATTCTTCGGTAGTAGATAAGGTATCTCCAATGTCCATTTTAATTTTAGGGGTCAAGTCTACTTGAAGAGGTCCAGCTGGGGAGTTTGGAGTATCATTTTGCTTTTCATTGCCAAGTGCAGTCAGAAACCTGTTCTGCAAAGTTTTCTTTGTAAGGCTGAAACTGAAAGACACCTTCTGTCGTCCCTGTTCCTCCAAATTAACTTTAGTCTTGGTGCCTTTGGGTAAAAATCGACTAGAAGCAACACCTTTGAACATTGGTCCTTTGATGAAACCTGTTTTCTGCACATTTTCAATCTTTGCCTATAAATGAACAAAACAAGCAGTTACTACAACAATAAAGTTACTTTCATATGACTAGTATCACAGTTTAAAATGTCAGAAAAATGAGAAGTCCTTTTTAAGGACAGTATGAATTTCACTAAGCTAGATAAGCACTTCTTTATTATAGAAAATTTCAAACATACTTAAAAGTATAGAGGATAGTATAAAAAATCCTAAGTACACACCTCAGTTTCAACAATTACCCTTATTTTTCTATTCTTATCTATTACACAAAGAATTTATCCATTTTATAATTTTTCCCCCCAGGCAGAATTTTCAAGAATGAAAAAAAAAAAAAATCCTATGTAATTCAAGACACAACACAAAAAGACAAGCGGATAGAGAGCAATAACTAACAACTCAATGAGAATAGTCTAGTCCTGTGTCCTAACTGAGAAGAAATAGAGAAGTCATTATAACTAGTGGTCTCCTGACATCACACAGAATCACTTAGGTGCTTGGTAAAATATGGATCTGCGACAAAACTCCAAGGAACAGCAATTCACTGGTTCTAAGGTAAGGCAAGAAAGTATGTTTTGTTTGGTTTGTTTTGGGGAACTAAGCATGTGAGGCAATTCCAATGGACTTTCCAGATTTGAAAACCACTGGTCTATACCAGCAGTCTCCCATCTTATTTTACAGATGAGGTAAGCAAATGAGGACCAGACTTTACTGCTTCCTATAAATTAATCCGCCCTTGCACACTACCACTGTCTCTGCCTGGGCCTCACATAACTCAGGCCATGCTAATTTATAGTCCAATCCTACTGTATGAGTATGAACCACAAAGTATACATCTAAGAAGATTTTCCCCTCCCTTTTTTGCCAAACCACCAAAGGAAATAGTGGGCTTTAGAAGTTTAAGGCATAACCTAGGTGGTAAAGAGAACATCAGAAAACTCTATCACCCTCAAGCCTAGATTAAAGATGGTACACTGGCCATCTGCAACACTTTTCTAATTGATATTCTTTAATCAACTCTCGCTGTTTAAGAGAACAAGTTTTCCCTTTCAATATAGTAAAATCTGAAATGAGTTTTCAGTATTATACAGTAACAATTCAAGTGGGAAAGTAAATGTTTCCTCACGCATTATCACAGAGCAGTGGTCTTCAAATACTTTTAAGAAACAGAGTCCACTTGAAAAATGACATCTTACATGGTAGCTCAATACATAAAAACAGGGAAAATGTGGTCTCCAGATCTGCCAGTTTCCTCTATCTTGCCTAAAGCTTCTGAAGCTCCAAAGTTTAAAAACCGTTTTCTCAAGATAAAAAGTGTTCCTCACTGGATGAGTTACTACAGATCTTAAAATTCAGCAAAAACAATTACTTCATTTCACATTCAAAATGATAGCTAGGGTTGCCTGGCTGGTGCAGTTGGTAGAGTAAGCAACTCTTGGTCTCAGGGTTGTTGAATTTGAGCCCCACATTGGGTGTAGAGGTTACTTTAAAAATAAAAACTTAAAAAAAAAAAAAGATAGGTAAATTCTGAGTTATTGTGGGGGGTTTTGTTTTTTGTTTGAGAAAGCAAACACACACACGAAAGCAGGGAGAGGGAGAGAAAACCTTAAGCAGGGTCCATGTCCAGCTCCTCAGAGTCCGATGTGGGGCTCAACCGCACAACCCAGAGATCATGAACCAAGCCAAAAATCAAGAGTCAGGTACTTAACCAACTGAGCCACCCAGGTGCCCCATCAATTCTGAATTTTTAATCCAATAATTACTGAATAACTAGTTAAAATTATACTTACCTCACTTTCTTCTTCTCTATTGCCATCCAGCCAAGAAAGCATGCAAAAGAATAAACAGAAATCGTAAATACTTAAAACCAATTGAAATCAAAGTTGTTTTTTATTAAAACCTAGGACACCTACAACCTATTCAATATGGTATTCGGTAAAGTTTCAATTACATTTGGTATAACAAATATTTATTGAAGATAGCACCACAAACTGTGAAATAAAAAGGTGAATAAAGCAGAGTGCCTGCCCTTAAGAAGCCTACAGTGTCCTATAAATAAAAAATGTAATTTTGTTACAAAAGTTAATTCCAACATAATAAAATATACAAGGATAGAAATATGTACAGTGTAACAGCAAAGAGGGAGATAGCTAAAGTTTAGTAGAAAGATAGGAAAGCAAAGAATCCTTCCTAAAAGAAGAGTAGTTTCTGAAGAATATACCTGCAGGGAGATTCTAAGCAGAGGGAGGGTCTCCACAAAGGTACAGAAATGAAAACATAGAACAGCATGCATTAGAAAACCGTAAACAGTTCAACATTACCTGAGTATAAAGTATAAGGCAGAAAGAAGCCAATAATTAGGTGAAGTAGGAGGCAGTAGCCAGGTCCAAAGGCCAGTTTCTCAGGAGGCCAAATAGACTCTGTCTTACAGATTAGGTGTTCTTAATCCTTTGTGGTGTCCATTCAACAGTGCCTTTGCTGATTACAAGGTATATACTCTATTCAAGGTCACAGCCTCTGGCTCTCTGAGCACACAGCTGTGTTCTAACAAAGCTAACCACACTGTGTCCTGAGACTGTGGAATCAAAAGCCCTAAGTCTGGTATACACCAGTGCACCAAGCATACTGGGGAAAGGGAAGCTACAAAAAGGGCTTTAGGTTATGACAGCCGGGTTAGTACTTTAGGCAGGCCACTCTATAGGCTATATGGCAAGACTGGAATACAATAGTCTGTTTTAAACGCCCCTTAAAAGAAACGTACAAAAATCCTGTCTCCAAATGTAGGCCTGACTCCGTCATAATTCAGTCTACTCACCAATGTCTACGTAGCCGTACAAAACCCAAACAACGAAGGGGGAGAGTTGGCAATACGTGGCTGAGATCTGAATCAGAGTCAAGGTTAAACACTTTCTTCTACTCCAAAACCACTAAAAACTTCACAGATGCAACCTTAGAACAACTGTATTTCATTAATTCTGTGACGTACATTTTCCCCACATATAAGACTTCTGCATCACACCATCAATAACATCATAGTTTGACAAGCAGCATTTTTTCCTTTCTTAGTGGTTCATAAGATAGTTGTGTCTTACAACCTACGACATTCTAGATTTGGGGACACCTAGGTGGCTCAGTGGTCAGGGCATCTGCCTTCGGCTCGGGTCATGATCTCAGGGTCCTAGGATAGGGCACGGCATCAGGCTCCCTGCCCAGCGGGGGGCCGGTTTTTCCCTCTCCCATTCCCCCTGCTTGTGTTCCCTCTCTCGCTGCCTCTCTGTCAAATAAATAAATAAAATCTTAAAAAAAAAAAAAAAAGATTTAAATTAGTACCATGTGGAATTTTTTCAAGAACATCAAAGGTACCTGGACACCCAAGCATTTGGAATGTCATTCATATTTATACTCTCCTTTCCAGTGTACATTTAAGAATGTTCATGCTTGGGGCGCCTGGGTGGCTCAGTGGGTTAAAGCCTCTGCCTTCGGCTCAGCTCATGATCCCAGGGTTCTGGGATCAAGCCCCGCATCAGGCTCTCTGCTCCGCAGGGAGCCTGCTTCCAACCCCCCCTCTCTGCCTGCCTCTCTGCCTACTTGTGATCTCTCTCGCTCTCTGTCAAATAAATAAAATCTTAAAAAAAAAAAAAAAAAAGAATGTTCATGCTTGTCCCATGCTTGTAACCATCTATATCCATACAGGAGTGCTGGAAATACTGAGGTGACCAGAACTCTTTCCTAAGCCTCAGCAGTTCTACTTTGGACCAGCAAATGAACAGGATAATCCTGACAAACTATATAATCAGCATCATCACGTGATCAAAAGCTGGTGAAACATTACAGAAGTAGGATTCGGGGGGAGGGGGTAATGATCCATTTCAGAAATCAGAGAACTGCTTAACAGAGATGGCAAGACATTTCCCAGAACATAGTAATAAAATGTTTATAATAATAATAATATAGGCATGTACAGAAAATATGGGAAACTATAAAATTTTCTCACTGTAAAGGCATGCCATGTTAATAGAGAAAGATCAAATTACAAACAAGCAAAAGGAAAAGTCCACAATCCAACATCCAGAGACAACTTCTACTAATACCTTGGTGTGAAAAGCCTTCCAATGCTGTTTCTGTGTATGTGATGGTGGTGGGGAGGAGAAGGATAAACAAAGATCTTTGTTTTCGAGTATAGCAATCATACCATACAAGCCATTCTGTATCTTGCCTCCCTCTCTCATCAGAAATAGAGCAGGGGAGCAAACAAGTTGTTTAGATCACAGAAAAAAATATGGAATCACTACGACAGACTGAAGGGAATGATCGTGAAAGAAGGGGATATAGATGAGTGAAGACATGGTTAAATTTTAAAACAAAGCAAGCATATCCTTTTGGTTTCTATTTCTCTCTCACATCCTCACTTGAACATTGAGAGAAGGAACAGAGCAAAATAGTTAAAATTCAAGTTTAAGTAACAGAAATGGAAGCGGACTATAATCCTCAATGTTGCTGCCCAAAGTTGGACATTATTAATTTATAATAGAGCTTGTCAGCACATTTATTCTACTTTTGCTGACAGCATTAAACCATCTAGAAGCAACTAAAGGAACAACTGGTGAGTTACTCCAAAAAGTTGGGTGGGACAAGCGGGGTAGATGACAAGGAGATGAGAACTGAAGGCATTCCCAAGAATACATAAATGAGTGACCTAGTAACCCACAGATAACAGAAGAGAGTGAAATCTGAAAGCAGCTGATAAACTGAAAGAACAGGGCAGGGGCAAGATACTAGAAGCTTCAAAGAGTAAATCTTCTGGAAACCAGTAAGAGAGGTAGAAGGGTAAGGTGATAAAATTGGAAATTATGGTCAGAGCACCAGAGTTGGGGTACATTTCCAGGAAATGAAAACATCCAGCTGTGGCCACAGAAGCAGACTGACCTGCCATTGCAGTAAGACAAGACTTTTTTGAAGAAACAAAATTCTGAGCCCACAATTAGTAGCAAGAATCAGCCACAAATGTTTTCTAATAAAAGAACACTTGTTTTGGTAAATAGTATAAAATAATGTTGAAGGAAGGTTGACAGAACTAGGGTATGGAAGCCAGAGCTAGGAGTACAGAGTCCCCAATATCCCTACCATGAAAAATAAAGAGGCATGAAGAAGCAGCCATTTAATTCTCTAGCAAACAATCATGTTAGAATGGCCTTATTTCTTCTTTTGAAAAGCTAATATTGAAGAAAAAACAGGAAGACTAAAGCCAGTTGTTTGTCAAAAACGTATAGTATAAGTATCTGCAGCTTGCTGAAGAGCTACCTTTAAAGAATGTTGATTAGCCCACGTCAGCACGGTGCCAAATCTCCACTAGGCCACAGGGTACATGTGGAAATGACTCAATTAAGAGATACAGTCATAGCAAGTTCAAAGAATCAATGAATAACATGACTATTAAAATCAACCAACTAACTACCCAATCTCTCTGGTTAGGACACAAAAACTTAAGTTTCCAAAGGGAAGCTTGGTATGGGAGATTTGGCCATATCAAGAATATTTGCAGATGGGGACACCTGTGTCCTGAGACTGCTTGTGCTCCCTCTCTCTTGTGTCTCCCTCTGTCAAATAATAAATAAAATCTTAAAAAAAAAAAAAAAAGGAGACTATTCACAGATGAATACTCACAGCTGGATAGTAAGGAAATCTATTCTGGATACCATGTCACACAAGAAATGATACAGTTAAACAGAAGTTTGTTGTTGTTGTTGTTGTTGTTAAGATTTTATTTACTTGTTGAGAGTGAGAGAGCACAAGCAGGGAGAGCTGCAGGCAGAGGGAGAACCAGGCTCCCCACTGACCAAGGAGCCCGACTCCAGACTCAATCCCAGGACCCGGGGATCATGACCGGAGCCAAAGGCAGATACTCAACCGACTAAGCCACCCAGGTATCCCAAACAGAGGTACTTTTATTACACTGGAAAAAAGACCACTTACAAGACCATAATGATTTATTTTAAAATATCAGAAAACTTAGGAGATAAAATACTCTTATTTTGCACAACTCCAGAAGTTGGGGCTGTGATGTACAGAATGACAGATTTTAGCTCATTTTAAGTCTGAACATTTTAAATTCATTTTCTTTCTTTGAAAAATACATGCACTCAGGGGGAAATTCATAATATAAAGAGATACACAACTCAAATTAGATCTATTTCTCTACTGTCAACTAATGTTAAGTTCTTCACACCCTTCTGGAAATTGTGTGCATAAATGAGCATATGTATCTCTTTTTAAGGAGAAAACACATAGATGAAAGGAAACATACCTTTCTATAACTTATTTTTCTCCATTTAAAGCCTTAAGTATCATTATATATCAATATATATACACGTAGCTTCATTTTTAGTTCTACTATCATAATAGCTTTTCATGTTTCTAACTAAGTCACTGGTATTTTCTTTCTGCTGGGAAGTGCTTTTTCGAGTCCTCTGCCAATCAACTGAGTTGTTGGTCTTTCTTACTGATTTATAAAAATCAGATGTGAGGCATCTGCAACTGGAATATGTCACTGTACGGGACACTGAAGTTTCCTTGTCATCAGAAACGCTTAAGAAGAATCTGGATGAGGGGCGCCTGGGTGGCTCAGTGGGTTAAGGCCTCTGCCTTCGGCTCAGGTCATAATCCCAGGGTCCTGGGATTGAGCCCCGCATCGGGCTCTCTGCTCAGCGGGGAGCCTGCTACCTCCTCTCTCTCTCTGCCTGCCTCTCTGCCTAGTTGTGATCTCTGTCAAGTGGATGAATGAAATCTTTAAAAAAAAAAAAAAAGAAAGAAAGAAAGAGCACTGACTTAAG